GGGTTGGAATCCTTGACCTCCAACATAGTTCAACTCTTCTTGTGGCTCCTCATACTCTTCAACACCAAGTCTTGGTACCCTTGATATCCACCATACTCTTCACAAGAGTTTACCGTCATATTTTCTTTTGGTCACGCTTCAATATCTTATCCATTTTTGCATTCAGCTCTTGGATGGCATGATGAGATTCATCATTGTTTTTCCTTGTAGTCCGATCATAATCCGAGCCATGACTCCCATTGCTTTGTGCGAGATTATCTACCAAAGTCTAAGTATCGGCTTCCTCAATTGTTTGACTCATGAAGCTTCTCGTAGACACCAGAGCTCTGGAGAGGTTTAAATAACTCGACTGAAAGGAGAGGAACGAAGTCACATCTCTCGCCCAAGTTCAGCGGACTCAATCGCACCCTTCCTTCGTCGTATAGAAGATAGTTCCGATCGTTGAGTTTAATGGAGACACAACTAAACTAGTAATATTGATATTGGAAGGAAAAGGATAAGACTCAAGAGAACCAACCCTCCATGGCTCTTGATACCATGTGAGTGTTTATGGGCTTCCAACCTCAAACCGCTGGGAATGAGTGGAGAGGCCCATGTCCTTTATATACTAGTGTAGGTCCCTTCTTACTTTCAATTAGGGATTCCTAACAAAGGGAAGTCTGGATACTTGACACAGGTTGTTCTTTCGGAGAGAAGAGAATGGTTTGTGAGTTTATCAGATGCTGGTAGTGGACAAGTAAAGATGGCAAATGACACCATGTCAACAGTGAAGGGAATAGGAAGTGTGAGACTGAGAAATGAAGATGGTTCTACTGTTTTGCTGACAAAGGTGAGATATGTCCCCAGGGTGAGAGCATTACTAATCGGGGAAGTTTGAACTAGCTGGAGAGTCAGGATCTCTTCTCGAAGCTATTATCAACGTTCAGCGATTGAATTACCTTCAGTAATCTAACCAGCTAAGCTACCCTTTATAATTAAGTTAAGAAAGGGCAGTTCTGTCGATTCCCAATCTCGAAACTGAGAGTGCGAAGTCACAAGCTGATGGGCTATATGTGAAGTTCAAAAACCCAGTTAAGAAAATAGCTATCAAGCTGAAACTTGAACAGGAATTTCCCTAGCTTTTCACCTTTCTCGTTAGTACACTATCTTTCACCCTTCCACATCTTCTCTTTATTATTGGATGGTTTATGGTCAAAGAGCTTAGGCTGTGCCTCAGTGTTGTCTGTTCAGTATTCTCACTGGCATCTCCGTCTGTGAGAACATCTACTTATCTCCTTTCACTCTTCTCCTTCTTCCAATCCCGTAGAGAGGCCTGGAATATTTATTGAGAATAACAAGACGATTGACATCTTAAATAAAGACATCATGCCCTAGACGCGAAGGTTAGTAAAGTAAGAGACCCAGGTGAATTCTGCGAAGATAGAAGAGCGGACTTCTGAGGAGACTGGAAGCCTATAAATAATAGGAATGGCGAACTGGAACCTCATCCTTCAAAGGGTTGGTGTATATTTGTCCTATTCGTAAAGACCCCGACCTTGCGTCAGGGAAAGTGGGAAAACCCCTAAGACTCTACGGGCTAGCCGGGCCTAAAGGAGCTTATCAAATTCCACCTATGTAGTGAATTCAACAACTAAGAGTCTTCCTTGCTTTCGTCACAAATCCCATCGCTCGAGAGAAAGAGGGTTTGGAGTTAGTTACAAGCTGGACTAAGACTGAAATGAAGGAACCAGATGGAGGCTGATGCAACGGATAGGAGTTATGCTTTTTGGAAATGAGGATTAGCAATCATTCGACAGTTGGGATGCCGCTTTCACTAGTAGAAGATATCCACGCAAGGAAAGAAAATGCCCCGCCGGAAGAAAGGTAATTAAGTTCAAGAGTGTCGGTTTGGGGTGAGGCTTACTCCTCGACCAAAGGAATTGAAAAAAAAGCAAGACTAACAAGTAGAGGTGGGTTTTTTCCTAAGCCAAAGAAGGGTTTGATTCCACCTAAACTGAAAGAGAGTCAGTAGCAGAACTTGACTAAGCAGCTGCAGAGTTTCGCTCAGTCTGATCTAAGTAGCTAGGCTAAGAGTCAGACAGTAGGCTTCCGGTAGGGACAGGATCGGGTGGCCTGACTGGCTCAACTAATTAGTAGAGGAGGAACTTGAGTGACTCGACCAAAGGAGTGGAATGAAATGGAACGACTAAAGAGAGGAACGAAGGTACTCGACCAGAATAAAAGGTTATAACCTGCTCGGCCGACTAAAGCTAAAGGGATAGGGGAAAGAAAACTGCTTGAATAACTAGTGGGTTACTACTCGATCGACTAAACAGAAGTCAGGGAAAAAAAAACCACCATCATACTCCTTAAAGAAAGTAAGGCATCCCAAGGCAGGGAAGGAATCTTAACCAAGGAAGGATTTCTGCTGGAGCTGCAGTCTCGGAGTTTCAAACTGACCGACCTTTAGGCACTGACGTGACTCTTCCACTTGTTGATGAGGAGAGAGATTTATTACTCGACTAAAAGGAGAGGGTAGCAGAATACCATTAAGAGAAATATCCCATTAGTGCTGCTCTTTCCTAGGTAAAATACCTAACAACGAGAATCTGGAGGGAGCTTCTGGGTAGCATCAAGAGACTGACTTACTAGAAACTAATATAATAGTGAAGGTTGTAGAGAAGGCTTCTATAAGATAAGGGTACAGTAGCCCAGTAGCCTCGTATCGAAGAATATTCCCGAGATGTGAATCTCACTAAAGCATTTCGAATGAAGAGAGGGGCCAAGCTTAGGAATTCGCTTTCCAGGACGTACTCAGGGCCAGGGAGACAGGGCGCAACAATTGTGACTGGCCATTTTGATCGATGAGGGAAGGCAAGGCCTTAACCAGAGTCATCGCATTCGTCGCACCAATCATAGATAGAACCCGATCCTTGGATAGAATCCATAATCAGAAGTTATCGGTACCCTTAGCATCTTCCCTTTGATTAGAATGTGAAGGTCCTTGGTTCGGGCAAGCAGCGTATTTAGAAGCCTGCTACCGAAATGGAATTCCTCGGTCGATCACTTTCATGATAAAGCAGAATTCCGTTGGACCAATAAGCAAGAGAGTACCTTCTCGTTTCAGTCGAGTCACTGAGCGCCACCGGGTTGATTGAAAGTGCCCCTACGGACTGGGACACCTTATTCCAGAGCATTCTCACCATCTGTACTAGCCTTGCATGAAAAAAGGATGAACCATGAGGAATTCTCCACTCTATGAATTCATAGCGCTCTTGGGATGAGCATGTGTCTTGCAGTAGGTCAAAGTGAAAGAATAAATAAGCACGAGGAGATGCTAGGCTGATCAAAAGAAGAAGGATTAGCGAGAAGTATATCTAACTTTCTTCTCCAATTGCAATTGACTGATTATAGATTTTCTATATTCTTTTTCTATTTTCCTAGCGAACTAGCAGCTCCCCCGCCCTACACAGGATTGGATACTGAACCTGATCAGATAGACCGATCGGTGCGTAAGATGATAGTGACGCACTAGGTTTGATCTCGCTACCTACTATGTATACTGTTATAGCTCTTCTTCTACCTCTATCTACTGAGGATATTGGAGCACTAACCCGCAACTTCATCTACGCTAACAGCTCTCTTTAGGAAATGCCGACATCTACTACTAATGGCTTTACATTCCAGAATAGGAAGTCATTTGAATGCCCGAAGTATGCATCTTCTATTACATCGCCGAAAGAGTGAAAAGTCCCTTCTGCCTGATGAGTTCTTCTTTCTTTTCTTGCTCCTCACAGTCAAGATCCCGCAAATTCTGACTGACTTCAATTCATAGTCGTTTTATCTGATGATATGAGATGACGAGCGTCAGACAGAGAAAGATAAAAAAGTCTAGTCAAGAAGCTTAACGGTGAAGATGGAGAATGAATTGAATCTTTCACCCACCTCAGTCCAACTAGCACTCTTGTGCCTCATCGATCTGCCTTCTCACTCCAGGAGAGCCATTTCGCCAATTCAAAAAGAACTGTACACGCGCGTATGGATCATCCATCAGAATAAATAAGTCTTTCAGAGTAGTCATCAAGCAAGATATAAGTACGTGTGAGGAAAGAGAAAGAAGTGAGTTGAGTGACTTGTGACCATCCTTATAATTTATAATTGCATAAAATAAGTCAGTCACTGACGCCGCTCCCAGAATCTTAGGTTGCTTTCTTTTCGTTTTAGGTAAAATAACCAAGGTTGCAAAAAGCTATGGGGGGCCCTCATAAATCCACCACTTATCAGACTGCGAATGCTAACAGTATCGAAGCGCACCAAGAGATTCCCGGTCGAACAAATTTCGTATATAAAAAAAAAGATGTGTTTTGTCCGTCCTCATTCTTTTTTATTATTTTCCTTGCTTGCTCTCAAAAAAAATTCCGATCAACAACTTGGAGGGATGGCTGAGTGCTTAAGGCATTGGTTTGCTAAATCGACATACAAGAAGATTGTATCATGGGTTCGAATCCTGCCTCTCCCACTTGTTGTAGTTTTAGCTTGTATATGTGAAAAAACGAGATTTTATTTCATAGAATAACTCTTTCACAAAAGAAAGTGCTTTTTCCTAGGGTAGATTCAAGGAATACTGAAAGGCTAGGAGAGTTCACAGGCTGAGTAATGGGAAGCGGGCTAGTCCCCGAAAATGCCCGTTAATCCAAAAAGGGTGGAGGGAATCCGTATATGTTGTTCAGGTCGATTAAAAGGTCTAGAAATAGCTAGAACTGAATGCGGAAAGTATGGAAAAAACATCTCGTAATGTATTTCCACCAGAAAATAGATTATGCTCCTGCGGAAGTATCTACTCGTTACGGAATCTTAGGTGTCAAAGTGTGGATTTAACTTTTACTAGGCTCTCCAATTTATGAAAAATCTGGTTCGATGGCTGTTCTCCAAAAATTACCTGGTGCGACTCTTTTTGCTCCTACTCGGGAATTTGTTCGGACGTTTTCTAGGAAAAGAAGGAACCGCTATAATAACCACCACGTGCGTTTCATTCTCTTCGATCTTATTGGTCCTATCCCTCGTAATGGCCTTTCCTTATTTGGGTTTGAAAGGGCCGCTTAAGAGGCTGATATATATATTCTTAGTCTTTTCAGTCGGATTCGTAGGATATTTTATCCGGATAGAAGTCATCCACCTAGTGGATCTGGCTTTGCCCCCGCTCTTTGAATATTTTTGTTTGGTCTGGGATGTCCATGTAATAGGAGGGGTACTTGCTTCTACGGGCCCTTACGGGGCGGAGAGATCCCCCCCGGCAGGGGAGTCCCAGACGGAAGAGGGGGAACCCTCGGTAAATCAGGGGACAGA